AAGCCACAGTCCTCCACAGTTACATGGGTCGTGTTTTTGTCGAACGTGTCAGGATTTGGGTCTTTTGGGTAATGATTTGTTGGTGGTAGCAGGTGGGATTTTTCTTACATTTGGTGATGATTGAGGCCGCGATAAAGCCAAGTCCACCTCCTCGGGCTGTTCTGTTCGGGACAACTGGATGCCTGCAGCAGCCCCCTTAATTATCCCGCTCCCCTCCTCCCTCTGTCTCCCCTCCCCTCTTACCATCTGTTGACCTCATGTCATTTTGCCTTCCTGCACCACTGCTGCTCCTTTTTCTTCCCTTGCTCCTACCCGTTAGCTCCAGCAACTCCCCAACTTCTTTCCTTCTCCTAAAATAGCAAGTTGGAGAGAGTGAAAATAAACAAGAGAGACGCCCTTTAGTTTTGCCTTCCGTGGAGTCAGAGAGGGGGACAGACAGAGAGAAGGAGAGAGGGTGTTTATGTGTATGTGACTGGTTTTCTGTGCTTTTGCTGATCCCTGCCAGTGCAGCCTGAAGCCCTCACAGTCAGCCAGCCGGCGCCTTCAAAGGCTCCTCCTCGCTCGCAAACTATATGGAATTAACTTAATGGAAACTTGCAGAAGTGCAGTACGAAAGCCCGGCTTTCAACCCGGACAGGCTTAGTGCAGCATGACGTGTTCGTTCTTTATTTATTTATTTAAAAAAGTATGGCAGGCATCAATGAGGGTGCCTTTTGTGTACTTATCAAGACACGCAGACATGTCATTTACTTAAAAGCATTGGCGTATGGCAAAGGGAGTGTGTGTGTGTGTGCTTTAGTGTGAGTAAACAAGAGTCTCTAAAAAAGAGGTATCAAGTTCAGACCCCCGGTCCCTTCCCCCACCCCTTAAGAAAATATAAATCACATGGCATTCCTCACTTATGACTCATTGTCTCCATTTCGCAAATGTTTTACTGCTTTATATTTCTCTCCCCTTTCTTGGCTTTGGCCGTCTTATTCCCCACATTCCTCCACCTCCTGTGTGTGTCTGTCTCTGCCCTTATTTTCATTCTGTTCTCTCTGTTCTTTTCTTTCCTTTCGTTCTCCTCTGTCCTACCCCCATCCATCCACCCCTCTCCTCTCCACTCCCTCCCTCTCCTCTTGCAGACAGATTGATTCCAGATGTTGCTAAACTCTACCCTGCTCTCCCTCCTCCCGCTCTTCTACGTAAACTCCTCCTCCTCTTTCTTCTTTCCACTCTGTCCACTGCAGAACAAACAGTGACTCTATAATTTGATGGTTGGGTATAATTTTGGTTTAGATTTCACTGGCGTTCCAGTTTTCCTCACAGTTTTTGTAGCTAGTGCAGCGCCTTCAGCCTCACAGCACTGATTCTCAACACTTCAATCACCTGTAATTGTGTGTGTTTTGAAGTAATACAGTTAAATTATCACATTTCCTCTACTGCTTCGTCCCACTAGCAGTGCTCAGCTCCAGTTTTTGGTGCACTGAAACCAGAGCGTCAGTGCAGTCCTATTTGAAATGCAGCACAGAGTTGGTAACTCCCAACATACATCTTTTTTTACTTAGAATAGGAAGAGTTTTCTCTTTCCCGTTGACATTGCCCAAGGCTTTGTAGACTTGAAATTCAGCTGTGAACAGCTTCCTTATACTGCCTTGCCATGTGTGCCGTGGTGAGCACCAGCAGCTTTATACACAGTCAGTACTTTGCTGAATCTAAGCCCGTCCATTCCCTCTGTAATTGTGGCGCACCAAGGAGAGTGTTCCCCCTGGGGACGAGGCACGAGGGGGAAATTGGTTCCAGATGAAACAGGAAGTGGAGAGTGGAGACAAAGAAAGGGTTGTTTCAGACGGGGGAAAAGGGAGGACGGCCCCCGACTCTGGACGCACACACACGGAGTCGCAGTTTATTGCATCAGAAGAAAAGGCTTTCTTTTCTCATTCTTACCTGTTCCTCACATCTGGGACGTTTTTTTAACCTCACGCTCTCGTTCCCCCTCTGCTTCCCTCTATCCAGCCCCGTCTAGACACTCCTTCATTCATCTGTACATCATCACCACATCTGTTTTTGGTCTTAAGCAGGGTTTATACTTATGCATTGAGTCAGTGCTGTACCTACAGTGCAGGCTCTGCGTAGACGTGTACCCTACACTGTAGTCTGTGGTAGCGTATGCCATAGCCTAAACAGTAGCCTTACGTGCTACATGCTATTTGTAAACTGATAACCATTTCCCTCAGTGGAAACAAAGCTTTTATTTACTTTTATTTCACAGATAATTAACAATAAATTGTGAAGACAATAAAGCCTCCACAAAATAGCATTTTAAGTCTTTTGTGTGATCTATCGTGGCTTCATATGAGTAGAGGAAAAATCCGCTAGTCGCGAGACTAATTTTTGCAATGGGAAATGTCATAGCTTATTCTTAAGTTAGCATGCTGTAGCTGCTAGGCTAATTTATGCAATTTAAAATGACAAAAGCTTTTGCAAATAATGTTAGCATGTTGTATTTGTTGGCAAAATGTGTCTTGTATAAGACAGTTGTTTTGTCGGTGAACCTTGTGAGTGATAATGGAGCTAAATTTTTTAACGTTACCTTTGTTTAATGTTTCTGTTGTTCATGGCTTCATAAGAGTAGAGGAAAAGTCTGCTAGCTGCCAGGTGAATTTATGCAGTGTAAAATGTAACTTATACGAATGACGTTAGCATGTTGTATTTGTGGGGAAAATGTGTCGAGCAAATCGGGTCGTACCCGACTCAAAATGATGTCAAATGAATCAAATTCGGCTGTATAATACGAATATTTGACAAGTTTTAAAATTTGAATGAGGTTCAGCGAGACGTTCAGTGTGACAGCAACATTCATATGATACAGTAAACAAGCTCATAGTGCTAATGACGCTTTTTGCCAATTCACCACATCCAAGCAGAAGAGAGAAGATGATGTTATCTCGGAGCTTTATGGCAGTGGTTCCCAACTGGTGGGTAGCAGTCCAAAAGTGGGTTGTGGGTCCGTTCTGACTGGACAAGAATGTCAAGTTTATTAAAAAAACACACTTTATTTTGAAGTACAGGGAATTCCCGGCACAGAGCTTTTATTTTGAAGTGCAGTGTCCTGCTGTAGAGTGAGTGACTAACAGACAGCTTCTTGACAGAGACAACAAACTACCTCGACCACATGGCCAAACACAAGTATGATGCTAAATATAACGAGCTTTGTGGACCTTGAACTGATGACTAAGGAGAAATCTGGACCTCGTTGCTGGAACAGTTGGGAACCACTGCTTTGCGGTGTAAAGTTTCTCCTCCTCTGTGCCGCAACAACTGTCGCCCTCTGTACCGAAGAGTAGCATGACAGTCAGGAGTCCTCACTCCTCAGCAAAACCTGCTCTACTTGAAGCAGTCTCAGTCGACTGTGGGGTCTCCGATTAAGGATTCGAATCTCCGACTTTCAGGGTACTGCCCTACAAGCAAAAGACAATTGTTTTTTTCTGTGAACACAAACTTTGTACTTGAGTTTTATGTGGTTGCTATTAAGCCACTTTTTTGTGTGTTTAAGCTGTATTGATTTATTTAAACTTTACTGCACTTCACAGAAACTCAGACTCTGCGTAGAGCTGATGCACAACTTTAAGTCATCCTTAAACCAGCATATCTTTAAGTCCCAGTCTTACACTGCAGGATCAGCTTTGATAGCTTTTTGTCTGTATGTTTAGACAGACAGTGTGTCACTCTGATGTCACAGTGGCCCTCTGTCTCAGACTCTCGCCCTCGATTGGCTGGATGAATGTTATCAGGAAGTGATTTCCGCAGGAGGCAGCTCGAGGTCAGGGCCAGGAGGTTAACTCTGTTGATGCTCCTCAGAAGCCAAGTCTGCCCTGCTCAATGCTGTGGCATCACACGGCCCACACTCAAGCTGTTTGCTGAATGGACGAGTGCATTCAGGCCGAGGGGCAGCACGGGGATTTGAGACATTTTTGTCTGCTCCTTAGTCCTGCAGATTAAATGTAATGAAAACATCAGCAGTTCTGTGAGACTGCCCCATCCCCCAGCACATATATATGTACACACACACACACACATCTCTCTTTCTTTCTTTCACCCCTCAGACCTTCTCCCGTCGTCTTCTCTCTCTCTCCTCCTCCCCTCCCCCTCCTCGCCTTGTGAGACTCATGCCTCAAGGAGAGCAGAGGCATGAGTCTCACTAGGCGGTCATGTTTTCTCTGCGAGGCATGCCAGCAGGCTAGACTGTGCCGGTGTCATCTCCCCCTCTCTCTGCTGTCAAAATATCATCGTTTGGTTAACTTTCCCCATTGTTCCAGCTCTCCCCCTCTTTTGTCTTTTCTTTTGCCTCCTCCTCCTCCTCCTCCTCCTCCTCACCTAACTCCACAGCAAACAATGGCTGCTCTCGCCGGGGCAAAAAAAATGACACGCTGGAGAAAATGATAGTTGGAGAGAAAAGAGTAGGAGAGACCGAAATAATCTAATTAAAAGTAATTACTGAGCAATTAACCACAACACTGGTTTCTGGGGCAGGGTCGATGAGGGATGGGGGGCTCACCCTCTGCTCGTGGATTTTGATTGGTTAGCACGGCTGGATATGTAAGCTCTGCAGTAGTGGTTCACCAGTCATGGCATCCACACGGCTGTTAACTGTTAACTTAATTTAACCAGTCTTTTATCTTCAGGGAACTGTCTTCTGTCCTCGCTTGAACTTTGTTCTGTTACTAAGCATCATGTTTGTCATTTTATAATCACGCACACTGAAAAACAAAAGCACTGTAATGTTTAGAGGTTGTTTTTTTTATTTGTTTGGATCATGCTTTTAGTTTATAGAGGTCTTGTTCTAATAATACCTCTGGCGTATTCTCTCGTTAGTCTGAAAACAAGCCAAGTGGAGCTTTTTCTGTCGGTGTATTTCACCCGAAATGTAAAACTTTCTGCCTGTCATGCTGCATCCACTCATTTTTCAAAAGCCCAGCCACTCACGCCGCTCTCTTCCCTCCTGTTGTCTCTTGCAGAACAATGAGCCTTTAAACCCCGGTTTCCATGGATACCCACCTCACAGTCAGGTAAGAGATTAGTGACGGCTTGCACAACCTCTGTAACAATAAATTAAAAACTAACATAATACAGAATCCTTGAGTCACTTGAGATATGCTAGTTTTCATCCACACAGTCCCCCTTTGAAGGACCATTAATCAAATGCTCATTGAGGTTTTTTCTTAAAGGATGTAAAAGGAGAATTCGGTGCTGTGTCAGAAAACTGAGACAAGAATAAAACAGCACAAGGATAAATTCACTCTCGGTAGTGCCTAAAATTTGATACAGAAGTGCGATATTTTCTGAATGAAGTATAACATTCATATTAGGGATGTTAACGCTGAACCACTGAGAATATTTTTGACCTGTTACGCATTTTGGTTGATTGGTTAATTGCACACACACACACACACACACACCCACGCGCACACACACACACACACACACACACACACACACACACAGTGCTATGATCTGGTAGGGGACTCCCATTGTGTGTAGAAGAACACAGGACATTAATTAACATGAGATCCTGACTGATCCTGTTGACATGTCTGGAGAGTTAAATAATCAATGGAGTGTGTCTCATGCGTGAATGCGCAGAGTCTCTTTTAATGGGGAGACGCACATATCATTTCTGCTGTGGTGGGAACGCCACAGTGAATATAGCTGCATTCTGCGCATTACTAATAAACAGTTAACGATATGATGCACCTCGCTAGCTGGCTCCTTAGTACGTTGTGTGCTGTGTGTGTACAGGTTCAATGAAAGGAGAGAAGTTAAATGAGCCTATGTTGGACCCAGGCCCAGTCAATTAAAAAAAATGTCTCGAGTCCATCGTCTTTTGACCCACTGGGATCCAATTGAACCCAGTGGGTCCTATTGGATCCCAGTGGGTCTTGCAGACCTCTTAAGCCTTGTTTAGACTTATTTTTGTGTTTCCATTGCCATAAATTGTGGATGGTACCAACAGAACCACTCCATTCCATCTTGGGATGCAAATTGTAAGCACTATATTTAAGTGATCATTAGTAACATTAACAATCACGTGATTGATTAATCGTGATTTAAAATGCAAACATAAAAACTTTGCTAATACCAAGCAATATCGAATGCTCACAGGACCATATTATATAATCTCTGACAGCATTGTGTAGCCTATTTAACATATAAAGAGTAGGGATGCATGATAATGTCGACCTCAAGTTGGCTGGTTCTGGATGACCGGTTGTTCCCAGATTAACAACCAAACATGGCAACGCTGCTTTAGATTCTATGCCGCTCAGATGTGGTACAAATTGCCCGAAGAGCAAAGACTCGAGACAATACAGACTAGGGATGCACGATAATACTGACATGTTTGTACCGTTGGTATATTGGCTTTAAGATAAAATCGTAATCGGCCAAGATTTTTTTTTATTTCTTATTTTGCATAATGAAAAAATATTACATACACCTAAAGTAGCGTAATTCATGTCTCCATCTGTGGTGGGCCATCACGATAAGATTATGCATGCACGATATGATGTTAATTCCACTACAGAAGAGACTTGATGATCACTAGAATTATGTAGGGAAAAAAGTGGATACATCGATATCGGTTATCGGTCAAATTAGTTGTTACATATCAGCATGTTGGATATCGGCAAAAATCCAATATGGTGCATCCCTAATGTAGAGGCCTAGACATGTGAAACACATATAACTAGTATTGCTTTGATTTGGTAGCTTCATTTTCAAGTGTCGCCATGCTCTTTTTCCAGACCCCAAGATAGCCGCCTTATCACAAAATAGTTATGTTGCGTCCTTTAATTGATAATGGTCATTAGCCATGTTTCCATCAGTCTGTTTAGATGCACATCTAGAAGTATCGCATCGGAAAATTATGATGGAAACGCCAAAATTCGAATTAAAATCCCCTGATTCGCACAAACTAAAATACGCTCGCTTTAGCCGGGTTTTGGTTGATTCGAAAAAATGTTGATTCGCAAAACGGGAGATGGAAACAGTTATGTTCAAATTAAGTCTGATGTAGCGCACCTCTCTCCATGGTGATATCCACACTCCGGGTTGGGAAGGCGGTAATGCATTTACAAGCTGGTTGCCAACCACCATAAAACATAGAAGAAGAAAAATGTGGGACTTGTTTTGTTTCCGGTTCTGCGGAAAACTTGCGCGAGTTCTTAGTTTTCACCAAAGTCCCTACATTTAATGCAAACACACAGGATTCATATTTCTTTTAATGTGCATTGTCCCAATGATTTGAATCACTTTTGGATGGAAACATAGCTACTGAAACATGCTTTCGAATCACACCATTCTACTGATAGCTACAATGTTAGAGGAGGCTACACATATATAGA